AACACTTTTTTTTTTTTTTTTTTTTTTTTACAGACCTTGAAAGAACTCAACTTTATATGGAAAAATCAAAAAACCCAGGATAGCTAAAACAATCCTGAACAATAAAAGAACTGCTGGCGGTATTCCCATCCCTGGTTTCAAGTTGTATTACAGAGCAATAGTAATTTTATAAACTGAATGGTATTTGCATAAAACAGACACATTGTTCAATGGAATTGAAATGAAGATCCTGACATAAGTTCACGTATCTATGGATACCTGATTTTTGACAGAAATACACACTGGAGAAAAGAAAGTTTCTTCAACAAATGGCAATGATTAAACTGGATGTCTGCACGCGCAAGAATGCAAACAGATTCATATTCATCCCCCTGCATAGAACTCAAAATTAAGTATTCAAAGACCTCAACATAAAACTAAACACACTAAATCTGATAGAAGAGAAACTGGGGAATAGTCTTGGACACAATAGCACAGGAGAACACCTTCTGAACAGAATGCCGATAGCACAGGCACTAAGATCAACAATTAGTAAGTAGCACCTCACAAAACAAAAAAAAACTTCTTTAGGGCAAAGGACACCATCAATTGGACAAAACAGCAGCCTACAGAATGGGAAAAGATTTTTACCAACTCTACAACTGTTAGAATACTAATATCCAAAATATGTAAAGAACTCAAGAAACTGGATAGCAACAAACCAAATATTATAATTAAAAATGGGGTACAAATCTAAATAGAGAATTCTCTATAGAGTAATCTCAAATGGCTGAAATACACTCGAATTGCTCATCATCTTTAGCGATCAGAGAAATGTAAATCAAAACTACATTGAGTTCTCTCCTGCAACTATCAGCATGGCTAAGATCAAAAACACCAGTGATGGTTCACGATGGCAAGTATGTGGAGCTAGGGGAACACCTCTCCATTGCTGTGCGAGTGCAAATGTGTACAGCCACTATGGTGGTTCCTCCGAAAATCGGGAATTGATTTACTTCAAGACCCACCAATACCACTCCTGGGCATATACCCCAACGGTACTTCATTCTACAAGAACACTTGCTTATCTATGTTCATTTCAGCCAGGAACTAGAAACAACCTAGATGTCCCTCAACTGAAGAACGGATAAAGATAATGCGGCACATTTACACAACGGAATATTACTCAGCTTTCTTTTTTTTTAAAAAAAGCAACTTCATGAAATTTGCGAACAAATGGATAGAACTAGGGAAAATAAAAAAAAAAACATTCTAAGTGAGGTAATCCAGACCCAGAAATACAAATACGTTGTATATTCACTTATAAATGGATATCAGTCATTAAGTAAATGATGAGCAAGCTACAGTCCATAGACCCAGAAAGGTTAGGTAAAGAGGAGCAGTCTAGCGGTAACACATGGGTCTTCCTGGGAAGGGGAAATAGAATAGATTGTGTGGTGGAGTGGGGGTGGGTGGGGACAGGAAAGGGAGGGTTCAGATGGGGAGAGATGGGATGGAGGGAGGTAATGAGGAGAGTGATGGCTGAAATTGGAGAGCATTTGGTGAGCAGTGTGGACACCTAGTACAACAGAAACTTCCTGAAATCCACGTGATCTTAGTGAGGACAAGAAAGAGTGAGCACGGAATCTCTACTGGCCATCTCTCGTAGTCAGACAAGGATTCTAGTGGTGAGTTGTTAGCTGATAGTGGTCCCATGGAGATCCGCAAAGGCTGATGCATGACAGAGGGCTGCTCTCCACAAACTGACAGTAGGGTGACATCCAAAGCCAGGGTAGAGACGCTAAATTAAAGGCCTCCACGGGGTCCATCCCCTAGGAAATAGGGGAATCCCATGGCTGAAAGATTGTAGGAATCAGAGGGGATGGAGGACACCAGGAAAACACAGCCCTCTGAGTCAACTGAGCAGGGCACATATGGGCTCAGAGAGACTGAAGCAGCAAGAACGGGGCCTGTGTGGGTCTGCACCAGGTCCTCTGCCGACACGTTGTAGCTGTTAGGGTGGTGTTTTTGCAGGACTCCTAACTGGGAGTGGATGTGTCTCTGACTCTTTTGCCTGTTCTTGAGACTCTTTTCCTCCTGTTGGACTGCCTTGTCCAGCTTTGCTGTAGGAACTTTTGCCCTGTCTTATTGTAATTTGTTGTGTTGTGTTTTGTTGTTGTCTCTTGGAGGCCTGCTTTTTTATTTTATTTTTTCTGATGGGAAATGGACAGGAGTAGATACAGGGGGAGAAGCTGGGAGGAGTAGATGGAAGGAAAACTGTGGTCAGGATGTATTTTATGAGAGAAGAATCTATTTAAAGCACGCACACATACTGAGAGCAGGTCACGTATCCAAGAAGGAGTCACAGCATTTAAATCCGAGTCCACTCCCTATAGGTGCAGAGCTGGACCTAGGACACGAAAATTAATGCCTCCCAGTTGCCTCAGACCTCAGCCTTACCTCAGTGGTGAGAAGGCCTGTACCACCTGCAGCAGCTCTACAAAGCAACTCTAGACCCAACAGCCTTTCTGCTTTATCACAGGAGAAGCAAGCACCACAGGGCTAAAGAACAAAATGAGTTGAGTTAGGCTGGGCATGGTGGCCCACACCTTTAATCACTACACTTGGGAGGCAGAGGCAGGTGGATCTCTGTAGATTCCAGGCCAGGCAGGGCTACATCATGATATCGTGTCTAGGAAACAATAAAAAAAAAAGTGTGTGTGTATGTGTGTATGAGAGAGAGAGACAGAGAGAGAGAGACAGAGACAGAGTCGACAAAAGAGACAGAGTTGGATTGGATTGGACCCCATTTAAAGAACTCCCTGCAAGGACCAGCTCGACCACAGGAGGGCAGTTTCCTCTGAGGTATGCAAGCTAGCCAGTTCTTTCATTATAGAACACAGCTTCCATGGGAAAGAGAAACTGGCAAGAAAAGGGGGAAAATAAGTTGACAGGAATCTCTGGCAGGCTTCCTACAAGAACGTCTCACTTTTACTTAAAAGGGAAGAAAAATGCCATCCAAAGTCTGCCACCGCCTTTTGAAAAACCTAATCTTAGCTGTGGTGGCTCACTGCCACCGTTGGATATCTCAAGACCTGTGCCAAAGCCTTTCCTCGTCTGCTATAGTCTCATAGAAACCTCAGGAAAAAATATCAGAAAGGTGAATATTCTCCGAGTGCTTATCTTTTATGACTTTATGTGCCTCTCCCTTTATGACAAGAATGTCATAAAACCCCAGGACAAACCAAGGTCCTGCACCACAGAGAAAAAAAGTCTCTGCATGGTATCTCGGAAGGCACAGACAACCTGGCCCAGCCAACCTCCAATCTTCTCATGAGTCTCAATTAGAAATGTCCCTATGCAAACCATCTGTGAGAAATGCCAGGTCTACCTTTGCTTGGGGGTGGGGGAGACCCCAATTATCTTCCTAAGAAAACACCCCTCCTCTTAATAGCTACTTTGCACCTGTCCTGTAAAAAGAGTTAGTGTGTGGCGCTCTGTGCACTGCCAATACAATTCCGTACGGAAGAGGACTTAACCTACTTTAAGCAAATGCAGCATACGGACATGTGTTCTGAAATACCTGTGATCCAAAATGTTTTAAGTCTCTAAAAATTCTACAAGAAAGTTTCTGAGAGGGAAAAATTTGGGTGTGCCTTCCAATAAATAGGTGAGCAACATATTTAAACTTTAAAGGACAGGCCTTTGAGCCTAGACTCTACCCCTGTTACTAGAGTCACATGAAAGATACCTTACCCTAAAGCAGTGTTTCTCAACCTCCTTAATGAGGCAGCCCTTTAGTACAGTTTCCTCATGTTCTGGAACCATGAAATTATTTTTCTTGCTACTTTGTAACTGCGATTTCGCTTCCAGCAACGTAAAATATCTGATGTGCAAGCCCTCAGGTGTTCTCGAACCCACAGGTTGGGAATCTCTGCCCTAAGGCAAGGAAGGCAGTATGTGACAAGCAGGCGCGCTACCAGATAAAAAGCCAACAATGGGGGCTCTGTGGAATAATCAGAGCCAAAGAGCATCCCCTACAGAAGAGCGAGCTGATTCTACATGCAGAGTCCTGTCTGACTCCCAGATGCGGAGGATACTACGAAGCAAACGCATCAGCAAGCCGCTCGCGTTAAAGAACGCTGGTCGCTGGTCGTGTTAAAAGCTCTTGTGCAAACAAAATGAGTCCACTGTGGCAAGCACCTAAAAGGGTCCACCTCCCAGCCGCCTCCACCCCCAGTTACGATCCCGGTCTTGCAGACTGTGTAAATTAAACGACAGAAGACAGATCTATGTGGATATGTATCTATTTCTGTAAATAAGAACTATAAAGACTTCCCAGAGTCGTGGGGTGGGGGGGTGGGGAGGGAAAGGTGTGTATCCACCTTGACTCCACGATAATTTGCAGACTAGAAGGAGCTGTAAACGTTCCTTCAAAGTACTTTTCTGTTTCTGGATTCTCTCTGGAGTGCTCTTGGCCCGAGTTTACCCTCCGTGACTTTTAGCAACTGGGGTGGTAGCCGGCTGCAAGTCTGTTAAGACCACAATCGCCACATGCACGTCGCGTTTCGGGGGGGGGGGGGAGAGGGAGAGAGAGAGAGAGAGAGCGCGAGCGCTCAGCGGAGAACAGGGAACACTTCATCTGGGGGAATCCGAAACGCCAGGTCCCCGCGCGTCCCTGTGTTCCCCCGGACATTCTCCCGTCGGGTGACCTGACACGTCACCCACGCCCCTAGCAGGACCGACGGACGTGCCCTCCGAGCCCCAGCACAGCGACCCCCTCCGAGCGCGCGCCCACGGCCACGGGGGCCACGCGTGGGCCCTCGCGGCGCCGCCGGGGAGCGGGTCCCATGCTCGAGCCCCGGCTGGGACCCGGGAGCTCTGGGGGCTCGGCGGAGGGGGACCCCCGGGGACGATCCGCTGCTCCCCCCGCCCCCCACCCCCCGAGCGCGCGCCCCCGCGCCCCCCGCGCTAACTTTCTCCCGGGGCGGGGGAGGGGCGGCCGGGCCGGGGCGGCTGACCTGTGCTCAGGTTGTCGTGGATCCTCAGGGGCACCCTCAGGACGTAGACCAGGAAGAGCACGAGGAAGAACCACACGGTCCACAGATAGGTCCAGGACCACACCACGCACGA